CGAGAAGTGAGAATGGATGAATTAACTATGAAACAGTTGGGTACAAGAACTAACCCTAATTGGGTTGTACCCCTTATGGGCTACCCCACTACAGCCTACACAAATGTATAAGCTATAATGTTCTGACAGGTAGCAGGGGTAGGGAGGTGCTCACCAGGGGCGGGTAGGGCAGGTGCCACCAGCAGCGGTGGGCAGGCGCGCAAGTGGCATGGGCGAGGCCGTGACAGCGGCTGCAGGGCAGGGCCACGACGGCGGCAGGGCAGGGCCGCGAAGGCGGCTTCAGGCAGGGCCGCAACAGCGGCAGGGCAGGGCCGCAAAGGCGGCTGCAGGCAGGGCCGCGTCAGCGGCTGCAAGGCAGGGCCGTGATGGCGGTAGGGCAGGGCCGCAAAGGTGGCTGGAGTCAAGGCCGCGACAGCGGCTGCAGGGCAGGGCCGCGAGCACTGCGGGGCAGGGCCGAAAAGGCGGCAGGGCAGAGCCGCGGCGGCGGCTGCAGTAAGGGCTGTGACAGCGGCTGCAGGGGAGGGCCACGACCGCGGCAGGGCAGGGCCGCAAAGGCGGCAGGGCAGGGCCGCGACGGCGGCAGGGCAGAGCTGCGGCGGCGGCTGCAGTCAAGGCCACGACGGCGGCTGCAGGGCGGGGCCGCGACGGCTGCAGGTCAGGGCCGTAAAGGCGGCTGTCATCACTTGACGGCAGGGCCGCAAAGGTGGTTGCCGTCACTTGACGGCAGGGCTAGGACAGCAGGGTAGGCGCAAGGGCACAGGCGAGGAAGGCAAGAGGCATGCGACGAGGTAGGCAGGCACGGCGGCGCGCTTTGGGCAGGGCAGGAAAAAAAAAATTGTGGTGGGCCCTAAAAAAAACGTTCCCACTAGGGAACCTGCTCTGAAACCATGTTACTAATTAGGGAAATGAGAAGGACTAGAATGGGAACAGTACAACGTTGTATAGGCAAAACCTAACAGGGCTGTACCCTATAAGGAGTGGCCCACTACAGCCTAGAGTATAGTTATGATATACTCGGCGTCGCCGCGAACCCACACTTCCTCGTCCGCATCTGGGTTAGCCGAAGCGTCTCTAGTCTGCCCGCGACGGAACCATCCGTCGTCGCCGCCTTCGGCGGCGTTCGTGGCAGGCTAGGGGACAGTGTCTACGGGAGTGTCGTTGCGTGCAGGCGAAGGTGGCGCAGTCGGCTGGAGGCGTTCGCGGGCAATTCGCTCGTCGTGCTGCATCCAGGCGGCGCGCACGAGTCCTTCGAGCTTGCACATCGCATCCTCGTGGCATCCTTTGATCGTCTCACACACTAGCTTCTCGGCGGCCATGGTGGCAGTCTCTGCAACCCGCGGGCGCTTGGAGGGTGGGGTGCACTGCGGAGGAGGGGCTGGACACGCAAGCAGAGACATGCGTGGTGGGTTAAGCTGTGTGTGTGTGTGTGTATGGCATGCAAAGTTGCAAGCGATGTACTATTCTATACCACTCAGAAATCAACACATAGAACTAAGAGCCACAAAAATGGAAAATGCAAAACTCACCCGTGAAGGTTGGACTGGACGTGGTTGGAGCCGACGTGGAAGGCACCGTGAACCCGCACGGCACGTTGACGTTCGTTGCGCCGCCGGCGGCCACAGCATGCGGGTTGGCGATGGCCCGATTGTTCTGGAACAATTTCATGTATGGATGCCATGGGGGCTTGCACACATCACCCTTTCCTGACGCCTTTTCCCCCTCTTGAGCTGCTTGTAGATTTGGACGAGGTTGCGCCACTGTTTCTGAACTGTGTTGACGCCGCAAACCCACCCCGGATTCTCCTTTTTGAGGTGCTTGACAAGGCGTGCCCAATACTGCAAGCCCTGCTTCCCCAGCAGTGGCTCGAGTTCGTCTTTCATGAACCAACGGGCGGCCGCAAAGATCGTGCTCTCCAGCAGGGACCAGACGCTGCGCTTCACAGGCATCTGGTTGCGGGTCTTTGGCGCGTGGCGTGGAGGCTCGCCACCCTTTCAGGCGGTTTTCGTGGGGGCTGCAGGCTTAGCACGGCCGGCACGCGTGGTTGGGGCCGAGGGCTGAGTTTCCTCAGGTGCGTCGGCCTCATCCTCGAACTCGTCGCCCTTGCTGTCATCCTCTGAGTCAGACATTTGTCAGAATGTTATTGTATACATCACTTTATAACTGCCTGCAATGTAGACTTAGTGTAGTTATCTTGCTTATTAGGTGGTGCACCTTGCTTCACTTCTTTCATATTTGTACCCTTGAACCTATAGTGAAACCCTCATTTCTCCTTCTCAACTCTCTCGATACTTTCCTTACCCTCGAACTCACTAGCCATGGCTCCTAAGTCACGCTAGGATTCTAACATGGTATCAAAGCGGTCTCGGGTTCGATTCCCGGTGTATGCACATGTAGGCCTTTGCCGCTGTGCTTAGTCCTGGGCCTCCCAGTGTGGGGGGGTGTCAGTAGATCTGCACTGTGGATGCCCGATTGATCCTGGAGAGGGTTACAGGCGCGTTCGCCTGGGGGGTTATGGGGGCACTGACCCGCTACTGAAACAAGCTCTTTTATCCCAATGGTCTTGTGGTTGGGATTCTTACATGGTATAAAGCAATTTTCGATCCTAAGGGCCCACCACGTCTTCAACTGAAAAAAAAAAAAATTCCTCACCTTTCTGCCGCGCGCGTCGCGCCTACCCTTAAGGCCCCGTAAGGCCCCATCAAGCCCCGTTTACGGCCCTGTAAGGCCCCATTTACGGCCCCGTAAGGCCCCGTCGGCCCCGTTTATGGCCCCGTAAGGCCCCTTAAGGCCCAGTTAGGCCCCGTAAGGCCCCGTTTACGGCCCCGCTTAAGGCCCCGTAAGGCCCCGTAAGGCCCCGTCGGCCCCGTTTACGGCCCCGTAAGGCCCTGTTAACAGCCCCGTCAGGCCCCGTAAGGCCCAGTCAGGCCCCGTTAGCGGCCCCGTCAGGCCCCGTTAGGCCCCGTAAGGCCCCGTCAGGCCCCGTCAGGCCCCCACCCACCCTGTTGCGGCCCTGTTCCGGCCCTGCCCCGGCCCTACCCCGACCTGTCGTGGCCCTGCTGCGGCCCCGTCGCAGCCCTGTCCCGGCCCCTTCTACGGTCCTGCTCCGACCCGGCCCCGCCTCTGCCCCTACCTTGTCCGGCTCCTCGCGAGAGTCCGCCTCGTCGTCGGTGCCGACAGCGTACTCGTTGCAAACCAAACGTACAGTTGCGTAAATTGTAGGTCGCGTAGGAAGCTAGATATGCGGCTTAAGCATCACACCATCAAAGTGAGGGCCAACCGAATAACACTTGACGGTACGACGGGCTTCTATGACACCATCAAAAATGAGATCTCTCCTTGTATTTTATACAACATCACCTATGTTTATACAAGGTTTAAAAAGACCACAAAATAACATTTTTCTACAGCGATCCTAACAAGACCTCCAAAAACCCATCCCCTTATCACTCCTGCCCGCCGGTGCTGGTTTTGTCTTCCGTCGACGCCCCCTTCGTCGCGTTCCCCTTCGCGGACGACTTTTTAGTCTTCTTCTCCTTATCCACCCCGGTTGTAGTGTCCTGGCTGCCCAATTTCTTCTGCAGGACTCCGAGGCTAACGCCCTGGTGCTGGCGAAGGCCTCTCGATGCCATGCTGCATATGCACCAAGTAGTCACCACCTTTGCCACCACCCTCGTCATCCTCTTCGTATCCCCGCCCATGAGCGGCCCTGCCGGAAGCGCTTTCAACAGCGCATCCAACAGGGGCGGAATCCACGCTTCCTTGTCATGCTCCTGATCCTCGACCAACCTCATCGCATCTACTGCAGCGCAAGCAACAGAGGCTGCAAGCGGCGCAAGGGCATCGAGGACGGCAAAGGATACCGTTGCAGCAGAAGATGACGAGGAAGCAGACGAGGCGGTGACAGCAGAGACCGAGTGGGCAGCCGATGTTGCAATGGCCGTAGAAGTTTTTACGGCAATATTTGAGGCGCCCGTCTGCCACTGGGTTCGGTCCACATTCGTGGACGCATCCCACAGTACAGACAATGTCGCGGCGAGTCCGATTGCGTGTTCTTATGTAGAGTAGTCGTTTTCCCCCTCCACGCCTCCCACGATCTTCTGCCACGCAGTTATTCCAACAGCAGCACAGACAGCAACGTGAAAGCCATCCCTCTGCTGCTACCGAAGAGCAGCCGTGTTGGTTTGAACGAGTGAGAATCTCCACAAGCCACCCATGTTGGAATATCAGAACCATCGAAGTTCGCGTGTGTGTAGAAGTTGCAACTTTCCATCGCAAAAACACTCACCCGTCTGGTTTGTCGAGGTGGAGCTCCTTTAGGACGCTCTACACACCCATAGGAAGCCATGTCGTGAACCTGAGGTCTTCGCGCCACGCGTTTAAACGGTTGGGATTCATTCCATAGGCCTCCATGTCAATGTTCGGGAAAAAGAACCTCCAGCAGACTGCGACCGTGTATCCCCTCTCCCACACCGTTTTGTGGGAGCTGAGGTTCCTCTTCCGGCCGCCGACGGTCTGCTCTGACGTCCACTTTTGCAGTGGTCCCTCGCCTTGTTGGGAGAACCCGCTTCCCCTGAATGGCGGCCGGACACCCAAAGTCTTACCCAAACCGTCCACTACGGCGTTTCTCCGATTATCACACTTGTCGATCTTCCGCCCTTTTATTTCTCCTTTGGTAACCGGTATCAAGTCCTGTATGCCAGCTGCCCGGGGTCTCTTAGACGCGTGACCCTTCGGCTCCCTGTCCTTCTGCCTAGGCCTCCTCCTGGACACCTCTACGGTCTGCACGGGAACAATAGCCACGCAATCTGCTATATTCGCCTCCCCGCTCTCCTCCAAACTCACCCTCCCCAGGCCCTCTGTTATTTCCTCCTCGACTCCCTCCCCGGTCCCCTCCCCCTGCATGGTCGAATCCTCCTCCTCCATCTCCCGTGCCAAACGTTCCGTCTCTTCCGCCATAGCCTTTACCTTTGCCTCCAGAATCCGCTGCTTTTCCGCGTGGGATGCAAGTCTGGCCCTCTTCTCTGCTCGACGATGCCGCCGCTCTTCCTTCTGCTGTTTCTCCCTCTCCTGCCGCTCGACCTCCTCTACCTCCTTCCTCTGCGCATCTTGCTTCTGCAGGCGCTCCATCTACTGCTGTTTCTCCCTCTGCTGCCGGTCTGCCTCCTCTGCCTCCTTCCTCTGCGCATCCTCCTTCTTTAGGCGCTCCATCTCCTGTTGTTTCTCCCACTGCTGTCGGTCTACCTCCTCTGCCTCCTTCCTCTGCGCATCCTCCTTCTGCAAGCGCTCCATCTCCTGCTGTTTCTCCCTCTGCTGCCGGTCTGCCTCCTCTGCCTCCTTCCTCTGCGCTTCCTCCTTCTTCAGGCGCTCCATCTCCTGCTATTTCTCCCTCTGCTGCCAGTCTACCTCCTCTGCCTCCTTCCTCTGCGCATCCTCCTTCTGCAAGCGCTCCATCTCCTGATGTTTCTCCCTCTGCTGCCGGTCTGCCTCCTCTGCCTCCTTCCTCTGCGCATCCTCCTTCTGCAGGTGCTCCATCTCCTGCTGTTTCTTCCTCAGCTGCCGGTCTGCCTCCTCTGCCTCCTTCCTCTGCGCATTCTCCTTCTGCAGGCGCTCCATCTCCTGCTATTTCTCCCTCTTCTGCCGATCTGCCTCCTCTGCCTCCTTCCTCTGCGCATCCTCCTTCTGCAGGCGCTCCATCTCCCGCTGTTTCTCCCTCTCCTGCCGGTCTGCCTCCTGTAGCCGCTCCACCTCTTCCTGTTTCTCCCTCTGCAGATGGTCGGCCTCCGTTGCCTTCTTACTCTGCTCCTCCTCTGTTTGCCGCTGCTCCTCCTCCTGATGTTTCTCCCTCTTGAGCCGCTCGGCGTCCACTCTCAGAATCACTGCCAACCTCTTCTCCACCTCATTTAGCATCCCCTCCTTCAACTCCTTCATCCCCGACTTCATCTCCTTCACAGCCTCCATCATCTCCTTTATTCCATCCTCCACATCCTTCTGCCGCCGCTCTTCGTCCAGCTGTTTCTTCTTCCTCAACCGCTCTGTGGCCTCTGCTTCCTTTCTCTTCTCCTCTTCCTCCTTTTGTCTCTCCCTCCTCTATCGCTCGGAGTCCTCTGCCAGAACCGATGTCAACCCCTCTACCGCCTGCTTTACCATCCCATCCTTAGTCTCCTTCGAACCCACCTTCATCTCCTTCATCACCTTCATCAATTCCGTCATCTCCTTCATCCCCTCTCTCGTCGCCTCCCACTGATTCTCCTTCCGTCTCTCAGACGTCGGTATTTGAGGTCCGCTCTCCTCTAACTCTCTCTCGTGCTCCCTCTGCATTTAACATTCAACTACAACCCTCACCGCGCCCTCTTCAACCCTCTGCTTGACCTCTCCATTGTATTTCCAAAAAACCTCCGCACCCACGGATCTATCCCATCCTCCCGTCTATTAGCGGCAACTGTCATGTGTTCTTCACGTCCTATGCGAACATCTGCTGCCGACTGAATCGGCTCCACGTCAGCCCTCCTCTGCACCCCTTGGTCCTCCAAAATCCTCGCGTCATTTCCGGCTTTCTGCGCCTCCTCCTCCTCCTCCGCAGCCTTCGGCGCCTCCGCGGCCCCCTTCCCCTGCGCCTCCTCCTCCTCCTCCGCAGCCTTCGGCGCCTCCGCGGCCCCCTTCCCCTGCGCCTCCTCCTCCTCCTCCGCAGCCTTCGGCGCCTCCGCGGCCCCCTTCCCCTGCGCCTCCTCCTCCTCCTCCGCAGCCTTCGGCGCCTCCGCGGCCCCCTTCCCCTGCGCCTCCTCCTCCTCCTCCGCAGCCTTCGGCGCCTCCGCGGCCCCCTTCCCCTGCGCCTCCTCCTCCTCCTCCGCAGCCTTCGGCGCCTCCGCGGCCCCCTTCCCCTGCGCCTCCTCCTCCTCCTCCGCAGCCTTCGGCGCCTCCGCGGCCCCCTTCCCCTGCGCCTCCTCCTCCTCCTCCGCAGCCTTCGGCGCCTCCGCGGCCCCCTTCCCCTGCGCCTCCTCCTCCTCCTCCGCAGCCTTCGGCGCCTCCGCGGCCCCCTTCCCCTGCGCCTCCTCCTCCTCCTCCGCAGCCTTCGGCGCCTCCGCGGCCCCCTTCCCCTGCGCCTCCTCCTCCTCCTCCGCAGCCTTCGGCGCCTCCGCGGCCCCCTTCCCCTGCGCCTCCTCCTCCTCCTCCGCAGCCTTCGGCGCCTCCGCGGCCCCCTTCCCCTGCGCCTCCTCCTCCTCCTCCGCAGCCTTCGGCGCCTCCGCGGCCCCCTTCCCCTGCGCCTCCTCCTCCTCCTCCGCAGCCTTCGGCGCCTCCGCGGCCCCCTTCCCCTGCGCCTCCTCCTCCTCCTCCGCAGCCTTCGGCGCCTCCGCGGCCCCCTTCCCCTGCGCCTCCTCCTCCTCCTCCGCAGCCTTCGGCGCCTCCGCGGCCCCCTTCCCCTGCGCCTCCTCCTCCTCCTCCGCAGCCTTCGGCGCCTCCGCGGCCCCCTTCCCCTGCGCCTCCTCCTCCTCCTCCGCAGCCTTCGGCGCCTCCGCGGCCCCCCTTCCCCTGCGCCTCCTCCTCCTCCTCCGCAGCCTTCGGCGCCTCCGCGGCCCCCTTCCCCTGCGCCTCCTCCTCCTCCTCCGCAGCCTTCGGCGCCTCCGCGGCCCCCTTCCCCTGCGCCTCCTCCTCCTCCTCCGCAGCCTTCGGCGCCTCCGCGGCCCCCCTTCCCCTGCGCCTCCTCCTCCTCCTCCGCAGCCTTCGGCGCCTCCGCGGCCCCCTTCCCCTGCGCCTCCTCCTCCTCCTCCGCAGCCTTCGGCGCCTCCGCGGCCCCTTCCCCTGCGCCTCCTCCTCCTCCTCCGCAGCCTTCGGCGCCTCCGCGGCCCCCTTCCCCTGCGCCTCCTCCTCCTCCTCCGCAGCCTTCGGCGCCTCCGCGGCCCCCTTCCCCTGCGCCTCCTCCTCCTCCTCCGCAGCCTTCGGCGCCTCCGCGGCCCCCTTCCCCTGCGCCTCCTCCTCCTCCTCCGCAGCCTTCGGCGCCTCCGCGGCCCCCTTCCCCTGCGCCTCCTCCTCCTCCTCCGCAGCCTTCGGCGCCTCCGCGGCCCCCTTCCCCTGCGCCTCCTCCTCCTCCTCCGCAGCCTTCGGCGCCTCCGCGGCCCCCTTCCCCTGCGCCTCCTCCTCCTCCTCCGCAGCCTTCGGCGCCTCCGCGGCCCCCTTCCCCTGCGCCTCCTCCTCCTCCTCCGCAGCCTTCGGCGCCTCCGCGGCCCCCTTCCCCTGCGCCTCCTCCTCCTCCTCCGCAGCCTTCGGCGCCTCCGCGGCCCCCTTCCCCTGCGCCTCCTCCTCCTCCTCCGCAGCCTTCGGCGCCTCCGCGGCCCCCTTCCCCTGCGCCTCCTCCTCCTCCTCCGCAGCCTTCGGCGCCTCCGCGGCCCCCTTCCCCTGCGCCTCCTCCTCCTCCTCCGCAGCCTTCGGCGCCTCCGCGGCCCCCTTCCCCTGCGCCTCCTCCTCCTCCTCCGCAGCCTTCGGCGCCTCCGCGGCCCCCTTCCCCTGCGCCTCCTCCTCCTCCTCCGCAGCCTTCGGCGCCTCCGCGGCCCCCTTCCCCTGCGCCTCCTCCTCCTCCTCCGCAGCCTTCGGCGCCTCCGCGGCCCCCTTCCCCTGCGCCTCCCTCCTCCTCCTCCGCAGCCTTCGGCGCCTCCGCGGCCCCCTTCCCCTGCGCCTCCTCCTCCTCCTCCGCAGCCTTCGGCGCCTCCGCGGCCCCCTTCCCCTGCGCCTCCTCCTCCTCCTCCGCAGCCTTCGGCGCCTCCGCGGCCCCCTTCCCCTGCGCCTCCTCCTCCTCCTCCGCAGCCTTCGGCGCCTCCGCGGCCCCCTTCCCCTGCGCCTCCTCCTCCTCCTCCGCAGCCTTCGGCGCCTCCGCGGCCCCCCTTCCCCCTGCGCCATCCTCCTCCTCCTCCGCAGCCTTCGGCGCCTCCGCGGCCCCCCCTTCCCCTGCGCCTCCTCCTCCTCCTCCGCAGCCTTCGGCGCCTCCGCGGCCCCCTTCCCCTGCGCCTCCTCCTCCTCCTCGCAGCCTTCGGCGCCTTCCGCGGCCCCCTTCCCCTGCGCCTCCTCCTCCTCCTCCGCAGCCTTCGGCGCCTCCGCGGCCCCTTCCCCTGCGCCTCCTCCTCCTCCTCCGCAGCCTTCGGCGCCTCCGCGGCCCCCTTCCCCTGCGCCTCCTCCTCCTCCTCCCGCAGCCTTCGGCGCCTCCGCGCCCCCTTCCCCTGCGCCTCCTCCTCCTCCTCCGCAGCCTTCGGCGCCTTCCGCGGCCCCCTTCCCCTGCGCCTCCTCCTCCTCCTCCGCAGCCGTCCGGCGCCTCCGCGGCCCCCTTCCCCTGCGCCTCCTCCTCCTCCTCCGCAGCCTTCGCGCCTCCGCGGCCCCCTTCCCCTGCGCCTCCTCCTCCTCCTCCGCAGCCTTCGGCGCCTCCGCGGCCCCCCTTCCCCTGCGCCTCCTCCTCCTCCTCCGCAGCCTTCGGCGCCTCCGCGGCCCCCTTCCCCTGCGCCTCCTCCTCCTCCTCCGCAGCCTTCGGCGCCTCCGCGGCCCCCTTCCCCTGCGCCTCCTCCTCCTCCTCCGCAGCCTTCGGCGCCTCCGCGGCCCCCTTCCCCTGCGCCTCCTCCTCCTCCTCCGCAGCCTTCGGCGCCTCCGCGGCCCCCTTCCCCTGCGCCTCCTCCTCCTCCTCCGCAGCCTTCGGCGCCTCCGCGGCCCCCTTCCCCTGCGCCTCCTCCTCCTCCTCCGCAGCCTTCGGCGCCTCCGCGGCCCCCTTCCCCTGCGCCTCCTCCTCCTCCTCCGCAGCCTTCGGCGCCTCCGCGGCCCCCTTCCCCTGCGCCTCCTCCTCCTCCTCCGCAGCCTTCGGCGCCTCCGCGGCCCCCTTCCCCTGCGCCTCCTCCTCCTCCTCCGCAGCCTTCGGCGCCTCCGCGGCCCCCTTCCCCTGCGCCTCCTCCTCCTCCTCCGCAGCCTTCGGCGCCTCCGCGGCCCCCTTCCCCTGCGCCTCCTCCTCCTCCTCCGCAGCTTCGGCGCCTCCGCGGCCCCCTTCCCCTGCGCCTCCTCCTCCTCCTCCGCAGCCTTCGGCGCCTCCGCGGCCCCCTTCCCCTGCGCCTCCTCCTCCTCCTCCGCAGCCTTCGGCGCCTCCGCGGCCCCCTTCCCCTGCGCCTCCTCCTCCTCCTCCGCAGCCATTCGGCGCCTCCGCGGCCCCCTTCCCCTGCGCCTCCTCCTCCTCCTCCGCAGCCTTCGGCGCCTCCGCGGCCCCTTCCCCTGCGCCTCCTCCTCCTCCTCCGCAGCCTTCGGCGCCTCCGCGGCCCCCTTCCCCTGCGCCTCCTCCTCCTCCTCCGCAGCCTTCGGCGCCTCCGCGGCCCCCTTCCCCTGCGCCTCCTCCTCCTCCTCCGCAGCCTTCGGCGCCTCCGCGGCCCCCTTCCCCTGCGCCTCCTCCTCCTCCTCCGCAGCCTTCGGCGCCTCCGCGGCCCCCTTCCCCTGCGCCTCCTCCTCCTCCTCCGCAGCCTTCGGCGCCTCCGCGGCCCCCTTCCCCTGCGCCTCCTCCTCCTCCTCCGCAGCCTTCGGCGCCTCCGCGGCCCCCTTCCCTGCGCCTCCTCCTCCTCCTCCGCAGCCTTCGGCGCCTCCGCGGCCCCCTTCCCCTGCGCCTCCTCCTCCTCCTCCGCAGCCTTCGGCGCCTCCGCGGCCCCCTTCCCCTGCGCCTCCTCCTCCTCCTCCGCAGCCTTCGGCGCCTCCGCGGCCCCCTTCCCCTGCGCCTCCTCCTCCTCCTCCGCAGCCTTCGGCGCCTCCGCGGCCCCCTTCCCCTGCGCCTCCTCCTCCTCCTCCGCAGCCTTCGGCGCCTCCGCGGCCCCCTTCCCCTGCGCCTCCTCCTCCTCCTCCGCAGCCTTCGGCGCCTCCGCGGCCCCCTTCCCCTGCGCCTCCTCCTCCTCCTCCGCAGCCTTCGGCGCCTCCGCGGCCCCCTTCCCCTGCGCCTCCTCCTCCTCCTCCGCAGCCTTCGGCGCCTCCGCGGCCCCCTTCCCCTGCGCCTCCTCCTCCTCCTCCGCAGCCTTCGGCGCCTCCGCGGCCCCCTTCCCCTGCGCCTCCTCCTCCTCCTCCGCAGCCTTCGGCGCCTCCGCGGCCCCCTTCCCCTGCGCCTCCTCCTCCTCCTCCGCAGCCTTCGGCGCCTCCGCGGCCCCCTTCCCCTGCGCCTCCTCCTCCTCCTCCGCAGCCTTCGGCGCCTCCGCGGCCCCCTTCCCCTGCGCCTCCTCCTCCTCCTCCGCAGCCTTCGGCGCCTCCGCGGCCCCCTTCCCCTGCGCCTCCTCCTCCTCCTCCGCAGCCTTCGGCGCCTCCGCGGCCCCCTTCCCCTGCGCCTCCTCCTCCTCCTCCGCAGCCTTCGGCGCCTCCGCGGCCCCCTTCCCCTGCGCCTCCTCCTCCTCCTCCGCAGCCTTCGGCGCCTCCGCGGCCCCCTTCCCCTGCGCCTCCTCCTCCTCCTCCGCAGCCTTCGGCGCCTCCGCGGCCCCCTTCCCCTGCGCCTCCTCCTCCTCCTCCGCAGCCTTCGGCGCCTCCGCGGCCCCCTTCCCCTGCGCCTCCTCCTCCTCCTCCGCAGCCTTCGGCGCCTCCGCGGCCCCCTTCCCCTGCGCCTCCTCCTCCTCCTCCGCAGCCTTCGGCGCCTCCGCGGCCCCCTTCCCCTGCGCCTCCTCCTCCTCCTCCGCAGCCTTCGGCGCCTCCGCGGCCCCCTTCCCCTGCGCCTCCTCCTCCTCCTCCGCAGCCTTCGGCGCCTCCGCGGCCCCCTTCCCCTGCGCCTCCTCCTCCTCCTCCGCAGCCTTCGGCGCCTCCGCGGCCCCCTTCCCCTGCGCCTCCTCCTCCTCCTCCGCAGCCTTCGGCGCCTCCGCGGCCCCCTTCCCCTGCGCCTCCTCCTCCTCCTCCGCAGCCTTCGGCGCCTCCGCGGCCCCCTTCCCCTGCGCCTCCTCCTCCTCCTCCGCAGCCTTCGGCGCCTCCGCGGCCCCCTTCCCCTGCGCCTCCTCCTCCTCCTCCGCAGCCTTCGGCGCCTCCGCGGCCCCCTTCCCCTGCGCCTCCTCCTCCTCCTCCGCAGCCTTCGGCGCCTCCGCGGCCCCCTTCCCCTGCGCCTCCTCCTCCTCCTCCGCAGCCTTCGGCGCCTCCGCGGCCCCCTTCCCCTGCGCCTCCTCCTCCTCCTCCGCAGCCTTCGGCGCCTCCGCGGCCCCCTTCCCCTGCGCCTCCTCCTCCTCCTCCGCAGCCTTCGGCGCCTCCGCGGCCCCCTTCCCCTGCGCCTCCTCCTCCTCCTCCGCAGCCTTCGGCGCCTCCGCGGCCCCCTTCCCCTGCGCCTCCTCCTCCTCCTCCGCAGCCTTCGGCGCCTCCGCGGCCCCCTTCCCCTGCGCCTCCTCCTCCTCCTCCGCAGCCTTCGGCGCCTCCGCGGCCCCCTTCCCCTGCGCCTCCTCCTCCTCCTCCGCAGCCTTCGGCGCCTCCGCGGCCCCCTTCCCCTGCGCCTCCTCCTCCTCCTCCGCAGCCTTCGGCGCCTCCGCGGCCCCCTTCCCCTGCGCCTCCTCCTCCTCCTCCGCAGCCTTCGGCGCCTCCGCGGCCCCCTTCCCCTGCGCCTCCTCCTCCTCCTCCGCAGCCTTCGGCGCCTCCGCGGCCCCCTTCCCCTGCGCCTCCTCCTCCTCCTCCGCAGCCTTCGGCGCCTCCGCGGCCCCCTTCCCCTGCGCCTCCTCCTCCTCCTCCGCAGCCTTCGGCGCCTCCGCGGCCCCCTTCCCCTGCGCCTCCTCCTCCTCCTCCGCAGCCTTCGGCGCCTCCGCGGCCCCCTTCCCCTGCGCCTCCTCCTCCTCCTCCGCAGCCTTCGGCGCCTCCGCGGCCCCCTTCCCCTGCGCCTCCTCCTCCTCCTCCGCAGCCTTCGGCGCCTCCGCGGCCCCCTTCCCCTGCGCCTCCTCCTCCTCCTCCGCAGCCTTCGGCGCCTCCGCGGCCCCCTTCCCCTGCGCCTCCTCCTCCTCCTCCGCAGCCTTCGGCGCCTCCGCGGCCCCCTTCCCCTGCGCCTCCTCCTCCTCCTCCGCAGCCTTCGGCGCCTCCGCGGCCCCCTTCCCCTGCGCCTCCTCCTCCTCCTCCCGCAGCCTTCGGCGCCTCCGCGGCCCCCTTCCCCTGCGCCTCCTCCTCCTCCTCCGCAGCCTTCGGCGCCTCCGCGGCCCCCTTCCCCTGCGCCTCCTCCTCCTCCTCCGCAGCCTTCGGCGCCTCCGCGGCCCCCCTTCCCCTGCGCCTCCTCCTCCTCCTCCGCAGCCTTCGGCGCCTCCGCGGCCCCCTTCCCCTGCGCCTCCTCCTCCTCCTCCGCAGCCTTCGGCGCCTCCGCGGCCCCCTTCCCCTGCGCCTCCTCCTCCTCCTCCGCAGCCTTCGGCGCCTCCGCGGCCCCCTTCCCCTGCGCCTCCTCCTCCTCCTCCGCAGCCTTCGGCGCCTCCGCGGCCCCCTTCCCCTGCGCCTCCTCCTCCTCCTCCGCAGCCTTCGGCGCCTCCGCGGCCCCCTTCCCCTGCGCCTCCTCCTCCTCCTCCGCAGCCTTCGGCGCCTCCGCGGCCCCCTTCCCCTGCGCCTCCTCCTCCTCCTCCGCAGCCTTCGGCGCCTCCGCGGCCCCCTTCCCCTGCGCCTCCTCCTCCTCCTCCGCAGCCTTCGGCGCCTCCGCGGCCCCCTTCCCCTGCGCCTCCTCCTCCTCCTCCGCAGCCTTCGGCGCCTCCGCGGCCCCCTTCCCCTGCGCCTCCTCCTCCTCCTCCGCAGCCTTCGGCGCCTCCGCGGCCCCCTTCCCCTGCGCCTCCTCCTCCTCCTCCGCAGCCTTCGGCGCCTCCGCGGCCCCCTTCCCCTGCGCCTCCTCCTCCTCCTCCGCAGCCTTCGGCGCCTCCGCGGCCCCCTTCCCCTGCGCCTCCTCCTCCTCCTCCGCAGCCTTCGGCGCCTCCGCGGCCCCCTTCCCCTGCGCCTCCTCCTCCTCCTCCGCAGCCTTCGGCGCCTCCGCGGCCCCCTTCCCCTGCGCCTCCTCCTCCTCCTCCGCAGCCTTCGGCGCCTCCGCGGCCCCCTTCCCCTGCGCCTCCTCCTCCTCCTCCGCAGCCTTCGGCGCCTCCGCGGCCCCCTTCCCCTGCGCCTCCTCCTCCTCCTCCGCAGCCTTCGGCGCCTCCGCGGCCCCCTTCCCCTGCGCCTCCTCCTCCTCCTCCGCAGCCTTCGGCGCCTCCGCGGCCCCCTTCCCCTGCGCCTCCTCCTCCTCCTCCGCAGCCTTCGGCGCCTCCGCGGCCCCCTTCCCCTGCGCCTCCTCCTCCTCCTCCGCAGCCTTCGGCGCCTCCGCGGCCCCCTTCCCCTGCGCCTCCTCCTCCTCCTCCGCAGCCTTCGGCGCCTCCGCGGCCCCCTTCCCCTGCGCCTCCTCCTCCTCCTCCGCAGCCTTCGGCGCCTCCGCGGCCCCCTTCCCCTGCGCCTCCTCCTCCTCCTCCGCAGCCTTCGGCGCCTCCGCGGCCCCCTTCCCCTGCGCCTCCTCCTCCTCCTCCGCAGCCTTCGGCGCCTCCGCGGCCCCCTTCCCCTGCGCCTCCTCCTCCTCCTCCGCAGCCTTCGGCGCCTCCGCGGCCCCCTTCCCCTGCGCCTCCTCCTCCTCCTCCGCAGCCTTCGGCGCCTCCGCGGCCCCCTTCCCCTGCGCCTCCTCCTCCTCCTCCGCAGCCTTCGGCGCCTCCGCGGCCCCCTTCCCCTGCGCCTCCTCCTCCTCCTCCGCAGCCTTCGGCGCCTCCGCGGCCCCCTTCCCCTGCGCCTCCTCCTCCTCCTCCGCAGCCTTCGGCGCCTCCGCGGCCCCCTTCCCCTGCGCCTCCTCCTCCTCCTCCGCAGCCTTCGGCGCCTCCGCGGCCCCCTTCCCCTGCGCCTCCTCCTCCTCCTCCGCAGCCTTCGGCGCCTCCGCGGCCCCCTTCCCCTGCGCCTCCTCCTCCTCCTCCGCAGCCTTCGGCGCCTCCGCGGCCCCCTTCCCCTGCGCCTCCTCCTCCTCCTCCGCAGCCTTCGGCGCCTCCGCGGCCCCCTTCCCCTGCGCCTCCTCCTCCTCCTCCGCAGCCTTCGGCGCCTCCGCGGCCCCCTTCCCCTGCGCCTCCTCCTCCTCCTCCGCAGCCTTCGGCGCCTCCGCGGCCCCCTTCCCCTGCGCCTCCTCCTCCTCCTCCGCAGCCTTCGGCGCCTCCGCGGCCCCCTTCCCCTGCGCCTCCTCCTCCTCCTCCGCAGCCTTCGGCGCCTCCGCGGCCCCCTTCCCCTGCGCCTCCTCCTCCTCCTCCGCAGCCTTCGGCGCCTCCGCGGCCCCCTTCCCCTGCGCCTCCTCCTCCTCCTCCGCAGCCTTCGGCGCCTCCGCGGCCCCCTTCCCCTGCGCCTCCTCCTCCTCCTCCGCAGCCTTCGGCGCCTCCGCGGCCCCCTTCCCCTGCGCCTCCTCCTCCTCCTCCGCAGCCTTCGGCGCCTCCGCGGCCCCCTTCCCCTGCGCCTCCTCCTCCTCCTCCGCAGCCTTCGGCGCCTCCGCGGCCCCCTTCCCCTGCGCCTCCTCCTCCTCCTCCGCAGCCTTCGGCGCCTCCGCGGCCCCCTTCCCCTGCGCCTCCTCCTCCTCCTCCGCAGCCTTCGGCGCCTCCGCGGCCCCCTTCCCCTGCGCCTCCTCCTCCTCCTCCGCAGCCTTCGGCGCCTCCGCGGCCCCCTTCCCCTGCGCCTCCTCCTCCTCCTCCGCAGCCTTCGGCGCCTCCGCGGCCCCCTTCCCCTGCGCCTCCTCCTCCTCCTCCGCAGCCTTCGGCGCCTCCGCGGCCCCCTTCCCCTGCGCCTCCTCCTCCTCCTCCGCAGCCTTCGGCGCCTCCGCGGCCCCCTTCCCCTGCGCCTCCTCCTCCTCCTCCGCAGCCTTCGGCGCCTCCGCGGCCCCCTTCCCCTGCGCCTCCTCCTCCTCCTCCGCAGCCTTCGGCGCCTCCGCGGCCCCCTTCCCCTGCGCCTCCTCCTCCTCCTCCGCAGCCTTCGGCGCCTCCGCGGCCCCCTTCCCCTGCGCCTCCTCCTCCTCCTCCGCAGCCTTCGGCGCCTCCGCGGCCCCCTTCCCCTGCGCCTCCTCCTCCTCCTCCGCAGCCTTCGGCGCCTCCGCGGCCCCCTTCCCCTGCGCCTCCTCCTCCTCCTCCGCAGCCTTCGGCGCCTCCGCGGCCCCCTTCCCCTGCGCCTCCTCCTCCTCCTCCGCAGCCTTCGGCGCCTCCGCGGCCCCCTTCCCCTGCGCCTCCTCCTCCTCCTCCGCAGCCTTCGGCGCCTCCGCGGCCCCCTTCCCCTGCGCCTCCTCCTCCTCCTCCGCAGCCTTCGGCGCCTCCGCGGCCCCCTTCCCCTGCGCCTCCTCCTCCTCCTCCGCAGCCTTCGGCGCCTCCGCGGCCCCCTTCCCCTGCGCCTCCTCCTCCTCCTCCGCAGCCTTCGGCGCCTCCGCGGCCCCCTTCCCCCTGCGCCTCCTCCTCCTCCTCCGCAGCCTTCGGCGCCTCCGCGGCCCCCTTCCCCTGCGCCTCCTCCTCCTCCTCCGCAGCCTTCGGCGCCTCCGCGGCCCCCTTCCCCTGCGCCTCCTCCTCCTCCTCCGCAGCCTTCGGCGCCTCCGCGGCCCCCTTCCCCTGCGCCTCCTCCTCCTCCTCCGCAGCCTTCGGCGCCTCCGCGGCCCCCTTCCCCTGCGCCTCCTCCTCCTCCTCCGCAGCCTTCGGCGCCTCCGCGGGCCCCCTTCCCCTGCGCCTCCTCCTCCTCCTCCGCAGCCTTCGGCGCCTCCGCGGCCCCCTCCCCTGCGCCTCCTCCTCCTCCTCCGCAGCCTTCGGCGCCTCCGCGGCCCCCTTCCCCTGCGCCTCCTCCTCCTCCTCCGCAGCCTTCGGCGCCTCCGCGGCCCCCTTCCCCTGCGCCTCCTCCTCCTCCTCCGCAGCCTTCGGCGCCTCCGCGGCCCCCTTCCCCTGCGCCTCCTCCTCCTCCTCCGCAGCCTTCGGCGCCTCCGCGGCCCCCTTCCCCTGCGCCTCCTCCTCCTCCTCCGCAGCCTTCGGCGCCTCCGCGGCCCCCTTCCCCTGCGCCTCCTCCTCCTCCTCCGCAGCCTTCGGCGCCTCCGCGGCCCCCTTCCCCTGCGCCTCCTCCTCCTCCTCCGCAGCCTTCGGCGCCTCCGCGGCCCCCTTCCCCTGCGCCTCCTCCTCCTCCTCCGCAGCCTTCGGCGCCTCCGCGGCCCCCTTCCCCTGCGCCTCCTCCTCCTCCTCCGCAGCCTTCGGCGCCTCCGCGGCCCCCTTCCCCTGCGCCTCCTCCTCCTCCTCCGCAGCCTTCGGCGCCTCCGCGGCCCCCTTCCCCTGCGCCTCCTCCTCCTCCTCCGCAGCCTTCGGCGCCTCCGCGGCCCCCTTCCCCTGCGCCTCCTCCTCCTCCTCCGCAGCCTTCGGCGCCTCCGCGGCCCCCTTCCCCTGCGCCTCCTCCTCCTCCTCCGCAGCCTTCGGCGCCTCCGCGGCCCCCTTCCCCTGCGCCTCCTCCTCCTCCTCCGCAGCCTTCGGCGCCTCCGCGGCCCCCTTCCCCTGCGCCTCCTCCTCCTCCTCCGCAGCCTTCGGCGCCTCCGCGGCCCCCTTCCCCTGCGCCTCCTCCTCCTCCTCCGCAGCCTTCGGCGCCTCCGCGGCCCCCTTCCCCTGCGCCTCCTCCTCCTCCTCCGCAGCCTTCGGCGCCTCCGCGGCCCCCTTCCCCTGCGCCTCCTCCTCCTCCTCCGCAGCCTTCGGCGCCTCCGCGGCCCCCTTCCCCTGCGCCTCCTCCTCCTCCTCCGCAGCCTTCGGCGCCTCCGCGGCCCCCTTCCCCTGCGCCTCCTCCTCCTCCTCCGCAGCCTTCGGCGCCTCCGCGGCCCCCTTCCCCTGCGCCTCCTCCTCCTCCTCCGCAGCCTTCGGCGCCTCCGCGGCCCCCTTCCCCTGCGCCTCCTCCTCCTCCTCCGCAGCCTTCGGCGCCTCCGCGGCCCCCTTCCCCTGCGCCTCCTCCTCCTCCTCCGCAGCCTTCGGCGCCTCCGCGGCCCCCTTCCCCTGCGCCTCCTCCTCCTCCTCCGCAGCCTTCGGCGCCTCCGCGGCCCCCTTCCCCTGCGCCTCCTCCTCCTCCTCCGCAGCCTTCGGCGCCTCCGCGGCCCCCTTCCCCTGCGCCTCCTCCTCCTCCTCCGCAGCCTTCGGCGCCTCCGCGGCCCCCTTCCCCTGCGCCTCCTCCTCCTCCTCCGCAGCCTTCGGCGCCTCCGCGGCCCCCTTCCCCTGCGCCTCCTCCTCCTCCTCCGCAGCCTTCGGCGCCTCCGCGGCCCCCTTCCCCTGCGCCTCCTCCTCCTCCTCCGCAGCCTTCGGCGCCTCCGCGGCCCCCTTCCCCTGCGCCTCCTCCTCCTCCTCCGCAGCCTTCGGCGCCTCCGCGGCCCCCTTCCCCTGCGCCTCCTCCTCCTCCTCCGCAGCCTTCGGCGCCTCCGCGGCCCCCTTCCCCTGCGCCTCCTCCTCCTCCTCCGCAGCCTTCGGCGCCTCCGCGGCCCCCTTCCCCTGCGCCTCCTCCTCCTCCTCCGCAGCCTGCGGCGCCTCCGCGGCCCCCTTCCCCTGCGCCTCCTCCTCCTCCTCCGCAAGCTTCTGCTCCTCTGCAACTGCAATCGTCTGCCAGTCGACCTCTTCGGTCCTATGGGCCTCTGCATCTGCTGTCGTCTGCGTCTCAGCATCTGCCTTTTGCTGCACCTGCGCATCTGCTATCTTCGGTGCTCCTGCTTCTGCGAGCTTCTGCGTCTCCTCCGCCGTCTTATTCTGTGCCCCTGCATCCGCGGCCTTCTGTGCTTCTGCATCATTCTTCCTCTGCTTATCCACAGTCACGATTCTCCGTGCCTCTGCGTCCGCCTTTTGCAGCGCATCCGCCTCCGCTGTCTTTGGCGCTTGTGCATTCGCAAGCATCCTCGCCTCCGCCATCCCACCTTCCCGAAATTCTACCGCCCTCTTCTTATGCATATCATCATCTACCTCCTTTTGCGCCTTTTCGGTCGCCTCTAGCTCGTCGACGTCCACTCTCTGTGCCTCTTTGGCCGCCTTCCGCTTTACCCTTGATGCGCAACTTTTCAAGAAACCCACGTCCTTCTCTGTCCGCTGCCGAAGATTGCAGGCGAGACCCACTCCTCCCACTCCCACGTCTGCACATGTCGTGACGCGTCCCACACGCTCCATAGCATCACGGGTGTCACTCGGTTGCAGCGGATCTTCTACACCCGCCTCTCCAGGTTGCCGCGGATCTTCTACACCCGCCTCTCCCGGTTGCTGCGGATCTTCTACACCCTCCTCGTCTTCCTCCAATCCCCCCGCCAAGTCCGTTTGCAAGTTTCCAACGTGCGTCCCCACCCCTTCTATCTACGTCTCGGTTGCGCGACGAGCAGACCTCCTAACACGCTCAGAGAACCTGAGGTGTTGGCCTCCCCCCCTCCCCCGTTCATCTGCTGCGGCTATCCATTCTCGCGGACCAGGGGCTCTACGCCTCCCGGAATAAGGTACTTCCGCAACCGTTGGTGCCACTTCTTCTACTGCCGCGGCACCGTCTCCCCGCCTGTCGTCCTCGCGCGCACTTCTCTGCATCGACGCCACCGTCATCGCCTCGGCCCTCCCAACTCTGCCGTCTTGGTCCGTCTCCGCATCTTCGACCCTTTCCTCCACCGTCACCACCTCGTCAGTCGCCTCATTCCCTACAACAGGTGCATCGTCCTCAAACTGGTCGAAATAGGCACGACATTCACTCACAAGCATATATCCGACCTCGTCCTTCTTATTTTTGCCAGGGCCTAAGTTGATCAGGTTGTCTCCGCTCTGCAGCGCTAGGAGGTCTCCCCACTTGTCCAAGAGCTTGCTAAACAGGTGAGTCACTTGTAGGCTCGATCCCACCTCATGCCGGCCCTGTACCTTGTTGATCCGGAGTAAACCAAAAAAGAAACAAGTAATGCGTTAGCGCACGAAGACCTTTCACACAGTGTTTAGATTACACAACCATAATGAATGTAAACATACAGCTCCAATTTCGACTTCCAAACAGTCGAGTCGGACTTTCATGTCGCGGATGACCTCTCCCATATGCCCACCTCTATATACGCCGCCTCTAGTGTACTCGACCTCTAGTTGCTCGAAAAGCCACCTGTATCGTTTGAAAGGGAAGTTAGATCTTGTATTCCCCGTGCGGCATAATGATAGGCAAAACGTTTTAAAAAAAAAAGGCATACTTAGAAACGTTGATAGCAAATTGGGTGTGGCGACGGCCAGGAATAGCAGACTTGGGGTCGAAATGAATGACGCGCGTACGGTATTTGCCTCGCGGGGAGGCCAGCAAATCCTTGGGATTCAATAGAACCATAAGGCTGATTGATGTGCCCGGGGGCTCCCGAACTCTGCCATACAGTAGTTTAAGATACGAATGATTAAACGCACTTCTTGAAGTTCTCAACTAATACATAACAAAACACTTCCGCAGAGAGAAGGGGTATGATAACCATCTGATAGTCGAGCAGAGTCAGATAACCCCTTCTGCATGATGGCACGCGTGTTTCCTCACTTTGCAAGCGACGGAGCTCACTTGGAGCGATAATCTTGACGTCCTTAAGCTCTCTTGGACCAAGCTTGTCCTTGGTAACTTCACTGCGTGGAGGACGGTCGATCGTGGGGTTATTCAGCGGCGTACGGCGGAAATATATGAACACAGAGGCGCTCATCATATGCAATATTAAAAGCGTAAACAACTTACAGAAGGTTGTACACTAGTAGAGCTTCGTTCCACTCTATTTGGTTCTTGCACAAGCTGACGTAGGATGCCTTTCCGAGCCGTACATGCACGCCACACCCCTCTGTAGTCAATACTCTGCGCATGGCTAACCTATTTTTTAAATCGACGCATATGGTAGACTGTGAGGCCACAAGAGTACGACCTAAACTACTGCTGAGTTTCAAGAAATAGGACTGTTAGACAATCGCCGACCTACGCAACGATTCGCGAGCTAACTCTGGGTGTAAGATTGGAGTAGAATCCCGAAAGTGAGCAGACTGCCAAAACTGAGCAGCATAAAGGGCTCCAGAACGAGAAATCATCCCACGCCCCCCATCTCAACCTCTCATGTTCACAGCTTCTTGGTATGACACGGAATAGTATGGTACGGGGGCCGCTGGTTTTGGCGCGCTTTGTTTCCTCGCATGTGATCAACCTTACTTAGACGAAGAACAGCAACGTTGGATTGCGCATGCAGATATGCGCGCCAGATTAAAAATTCTGCGGATAGACTGGCAGAAATGCACCCATGTACGTTTCCGTAATCTTCTTCGACCAATGAATGTTACGTGCAAAAGCAACCGGCAGACTTCAATCAATGTGGATTTCCAGTACGTTCATACACCAATCATGCACGCGCTGTTGTCTACCTTATCTGCAAGGCTTGCATAAATATACCGTCTCCCAACGACTGCATGGTCACAAATCTGTTGCGGCTCCGTATATCACGCACACGTTCAGACCCTGGCCAGAAAAACCATAATCGCCTCTAACGTGTGACAGGCTGTCCCGAGGTTGCCACATAGAAGCGACCGCTCCGCATGCTTTCGTCGATAATTTCGACGCATATGTGCAGAGAGCCACTAAACAACATCACGTTAGGGCGTGTGCACTTAGGGCGAAATTTGTCAGAGTCGAACGTTAACCATTTTGCACCGTGGCGAAACGTCTCATGTTAGTATCGTACGGGGTAGAATCTCGCTAAAAGTTCGAACTTAGACAGAAGTTTGAACGCCTAGTGCACACGCCCTTAGCAAGTCTCTGTGCAGGCCGAGAGCGGCGTGTAGAGTGTTTCGCTTACCGTCTTAGGTGGAAATTGGTACTAAAAAGAAATTGCAGGTACAAAATACTGCAAAAGGTAACTAAGTGACTTATAACATAAACAAATCGTGTCAACAAAGCGTACCTCATGTTGTGTGAATCAACCCTAATCAAACAAAGTTCTGGTTTAGAATGACAGCTAAACGATGTGAGCAAACAAAAAAAAAAACAACAAAAACAAATAAAACAAAAACAAAAACAAAAACCAAAAAAAAAAAAACAAAAAAAACAAAAAACGCATTTTTGCCCAAATCTGTTGCCCAATACCATAACATTAAAACCATAGCAAACCATGATGAAATTCCCTGAATTTTAGAGGGGAGTCTGGAATAGGTGTGCTGAGGGTCCCCTCTGAAAATCATCCCATTTGCCCTAGGAGAAGTGGGTGATTCCACCTGCAACCTGATTCCAGGCAATTCTGTCCAGAATTCTGCAGTCTGCAGCAGAACAAGGCTTGAAAACCATAGCAAACCTTGGGCAAATGAGGTGAACTTCAGAGGGGAGTCTGGAATAGGTGTGATGAGGGTCCCCTCTGAAAATCATCATATTTTCCCAAGGAGAAGTGGGTGATTCTACCTGCAACCTGATTCGAGGCAATTCTGCCCAGAATTCTGCAATCTGCAGCAGAACAAGGCTTTAAAACTATAGCAAACCTTGGGAAAATAAGGTGAATTTCAGAGGGGGGTCTGGAATAGGTGTGATGAGGGTCCCCTCTGAAAATCATCCCATTTGCCCAAGGAGAAGTGGGTGATTCCACCTGCAACCTGATTCCAGGCATTTCTGCACAGAATTCTGCAGGCTGCTGCAGAACAAGACTTGAAAACCATAGCAAAACTTGGGCAAATGAGGTAAATTTCAGAGGGAAGTCTGGAATGGGTGCGATGAGGGTCCCCTCTGAAAATCATCCCATTTTCCCAAGGAGAAATGGGTGATTCCAACTGCAACCTGATTCCAGGCATTTCTGCACAGAATTCTGCAGTCTGCTGCAGAACAAGGCTTGAAAACCATAGCAAACCTTGGGCAAATGTGGTGAATTTCAGAGGAAAGTCTGAAATAGTTGTGATGAGGGTCCCCTCTGAAAATCATCTCATTTTCCCAAGGAGAAGTGGGTGATTCTACCTGCAACCTGATTCCAGGCAATTCTGTCCAGAATTCTACAGTCTGCAGCAGAACAAGGCTTGAAAACCATAGCAAAACTTGGGCAAATGAGGTGAATTTCAAAGGGGAATCTGGAATAGGTGTGATGAGAGACCCCTCTGAAAATCATCCCATTTTCCCAAGAAGAATTGGGTGATTCCACCTGCAACCTGATTCCAGGCATTTCTGCACAGAATTCTGCAGTCTGCTGCAGAACAACGCTTTAAAACCATAGCAAAACTTGGGCAAATGAGGTGAATTTCAGAGGGGAGTCTGTAATAGGTGTGATGAGGGTCCCCTATCAAAATCAGGTCAAATACCCAAGGAGAAGTGGTTGATTTCACTTGAAACATCACACCATGCAATTCTGTACTGAATTTCTAGCACAGAAAACCCACCTATGGTGTGTGCACTGAGCTGTGAATGATGTGGGGGCCTGGAACAGGTGCCATTGCACTAAAAACCCAAAAACAAATGGTCACACCATAACACATGTGCATGATACCCAGAAAATGACATTTCAACTATTAGGAGCAACCTTAGTTGAGCCAAAAGTGACAGAATGAATGATTTTGTCCAAAATAACAAATACATGCTAGCTTGAAGAGGACATAAAGGAGGTCCAGGAAATCTAGGTTTCATTCAAAATGAACCACAAATATCAGAGTTATGAGTCAAACCATGGGGAGTTTGTAAGCCATTTTTACATTCTGTTTGTCAGAATTACAACCATGTGTATACTACAACTTTTATACACACACATTGCTAAACAGTTGTTGCTACGTCAATTTAGACCAACCGTCGATGATCGCCCACTGGCCGTGTTACTCCGCCTGCGACATTTCGTTGCGACTTCAGGTGGTTTGGATTTTGGAGGGGGAGGTTTGAGGTAAGGCGGAAACGGAAGGTTCAGAAGCGACTCGAGTCAGCTTCGGTTTCGTCAAATCAGGCGTGCCGACTCCCCGTCATGTTCGGGGCTTCGTAAGATACCTACGTGACCCCTGTTATGTCGCCTCCGCTAACCAAACCCGAACGTACAGACCGCCGAAGTCTGCGCCAGCCTACCTAGCCGAACCTGGTGTGCCAGCGACTGTTGTATTGGGGTGCATTTTGCAAACTCGGAACCTCGCAGAATTCAGAGCTTCGCACAATGCCATAGCGACAAGAACGAGGTTGGTAACCATATAAAGTTTTCTCCCAGCAGGCAAAACCAAATTCTAACTCATTCGCATAAGTAGTCTTTTTTTCCCCTCAATCGCCTTGAGGAGCCGCTGAGCGACAGCTAAGTAAAATCCATCGACCCTCGCTCGTGGTTTTCACGCTAGAGGCTTCAGAAGTAGGATCTGCTCTGCGTTGTCGGGCTATTTTTGAGGCGCCTAAGAATCAGACGCTATGCTTCACTGTCGTTTCTACCATGTTTAGTCGACGTGATGGGTGCTTGAGCAATCGGCTCGGCGTGTAACGCCTGTGGGCTGTGTTAAGGGCACTCCGCTGCGCCAAATAACACCCTCGTTTTGACCCAGTGGGTAGCGAGGTGTTACACGGCGCGCTTATGCTCTTCCTGCCGACGTGTTTCGCCGCAGTCCGCAGCGTGACTATTCGCCCCTCCTAAGATCCGTGTAGTGCTTTCATCTCGCCATTCCTTTCCGCCATTTCGCCAGGTCACACCGTAATTCCACCGCGTCGCGCTGCGATGTCGTCATGCCACGTCGCCAATTCACATGTCACGCTGCCATTTCGTCATGTCACATCGTCATTTCGCCGCGTCCCGCTACCCTGTCGCCATGTTATTCCTCCATTTCGCATGTCACGCCGCCACTTTGCCATTTCAGTTCGCCTTCAGTTCGCCTCGTCGCTTCCCCACGTCGCACCGCCATTTCGTCGTCCCTTCAGCTCTTCCCGTTCCACCCGCCGCCGTCTCACTAGCTTGCATCTGGAGTCCGCTGTGTGTTGACGTTGTGGCCATGTCATGGTCTGGTGGTCCGGCGGCGCTATGGTCTTTTCTCCTGCGCTCGGATCTGGTCTGGTCTGGTCCGGTTCGCTCTAGTCGTGTTCGCTCTGCTGTGATGTTTGCTTGCCAGCAGGTGAGAGGAGTGAGGCGGGAGGTGAGTGATTTGGCAGCAGCATGGAAGCTGTAACGAGGCGATCGCTGGGCAGGCAAAGGAAGAAACATACTGTGTTGCTGCTCTCTTGCGCAGGGGTCTCAGGACCCTTCAACTCTGTCTTTAGCCCCTTCCCTAAACCCTGTGCAGCAGGCGTGCCAGCATGCGTGGGGGAGGGCGTTCGAGGGGTGGCAAGTGGAAGCAATCTGTGCACCGTTTGGGCCGGCTCCGCATGCTCAGTCAGAAGATTGAGCGCTGCGACAACCGGCGCCTCTAAATTGATGTTGCCTGTTCCAGTGTCTCGCGAAACACGCCTTGCTGAAAATGACGATGCCGCCACGCGCAGCTCAGAATTGAAATGGAAGCAAAGACCTGGGGGAGCGACTCTTTGAAATGGAGCTTGATGGGTTTTGAATGCCGCGCGTCGCAGCGCCACTGAGGCACCATGCACTTGCAATCGACCCGATGCACCGCGTTTCCCAAGTGGCACTTGGCAACAACGAGCTGGGGTACAGCCTAGAACGGCAACGGGGATGCGCCTCGATTTCTCTCCAGTGCTCTTCGCAGCAACGAGCTGGGGTGGAGCCCGAAGCCTCGATGCGCTGCGTTTTCCCCACGGTGCGCCGCTCGCGCGCGAGATGGTTTAGAAGCGGGCGTGCGATGGTGATGCCTGCGATGGTTTTCCCCCCTGCCTGCTTCTCGCCCCCGTCAAGCCCCCAACACCGTCTATCCACTTCTAAATCTTCCTTGTCGGTTTCCCATGCTCTGAATCATGATTCCCTTTTCAGGTATCCCTTGGGTCTTGTGGCATCACTCAGTCCTCATCCTCTCCCTCCCCCCTCCCTCTGCTGTGGAATGGTGCCCATCTGTTTGGTAAGAAGCGCGTAGATCCCGACTGGCACCTGATTCTCCTCCCATGAGTCCCACCCCTCATCGTTCACCCTTGCCTTAGTCCAACTGTACCTACTTCCACGAGCACAGCGCTCCGCCTGTCTACTCTTTTCCTCTCGTGCCTCTACCTTTCCAGCAATCTGCTGCTCTCCAACGGTTGTTATTCCTACAAGTCATCCAAAGCAACTTTACCTGCCCCCCTCCACTCCCCCACCCCTTGGTGTTCCCCCCCCGTCGCCTCCCCTCTCTTTCTACCCCCCTTTCCCCTTCCTCCCACCACCCGCTTCCTGTTTCCCACCCTCAACCCTCCCTTGTTCTCCCAGACTCTCACCCCTTAGCCTGAGTTGCTCCTCCTACAACCTTCCCTTCTCTCATCTCTCCCACCAACGCCCTGTACCGCCGCTCATCATCCCCCTTACACCAGGACTCGGTAGTGGAGTGGCACTGGTATACAGCAGTGCCGCCAGCTCCTACACTGCACCCCGGCTTCTCTCCTGCTCCTCCGCTACCCCTCCATTTTCCACAACGGCCTTCCAGCAGGCCATGCCTCTCGGGTGCGTCTCACTCACCCCCACTCTCTCACAAGCTTTAGCTGGATGGGGAGATGTGTGGGGAGAAATAAGTGTGGGAGGGCAGGGCAGGCAGGGGTGGAGAGAGGCGAGGTGGTGGTGCCTTGGACTTATATAGAAAGCGAGACGGAAGGGGGATGCAGATTTACTTCTAGTACCAGGTAGGTACTGTGATCGTTCACTGTCCCCTGCATCTGCACTGTATGGGGTACATATGATACATATAATCCACGCATACTGTAGGGATACACTGTCGCTCTCAGGCGGCGCCGCCTCTGGCTGTACATATTGATTTGCAGTACCAGGTAGGTACTGTGATGGTTCACTATGTGTACACATATCCCATTTACAGAATGGCAGATGATTGTTGTTGCTGCCTTTCCCTCCCCTCCACCTCCCTCCCATCCTTCCTCTCCTTTTCCGGTCTCCCACTCAGCTAATGTGCATCGGAGCTGCCAGTGTGTTTCTGACTTTATGCCTGCCTGCCTCGATTGCTGTCCTCTTTGTATTATCTCTTCCCCTCCCCTCCATCCCTTTCACTCACACCCAGCTAATGTGCCTCGGTCGGTGCAGACATTATGCTCGTGTGCTCATGCCTTTGTCCCGTACTGCCCTGCTTTCGTACCCCTTCCGCTCCCCCGCGCATCTTTCCTTCCTTCCCTCCCCTCCCCTCCCTCTTGTACAAAGCAGCTCATGCCCCACTGGTGCTGACAGTGTCTTGGTGGGCATGTGGCATGACCTGCCAGAGACGCCGAGGCAGGAAGAGCAGCTGAGGCGAGCCAAGGTGGCAGCAGAGGCGGCAAGCGACGCCAAGAGCATCGTTTTGAGGAATATGAGGCACGAGATTTGCACCCCGATGCATGGTGAGCAGGGTGGGTGGGTGGATGGGTGGGGGCGATGCGTGCATGTGCATGGTGCATGCATGGTTTGCAGTGCATGCATGGTCTGCAGTGCATGCATGGTCTGCAGTGCATGGTCTGCAGTGCATGGTTTGTGCATGGCGGTTCTGGTGGCCATATGCCACGAGTGCATGGTTGACGGGAGGTACCTTTTATTTATTTGATATACCAAGCAACAACCCCCTCCCCCCATCGTTTGGTCCCCTTTCCCTCCTCGTTTCCTCCCCTTTCCCTCCCCTCTCCCTCCCCCCCCCCCCACCCTTATATCCCTTTCCCTCCCCCTCCCCTTCTTCTCCCCTTCCCCTCCCCTTCCCCTCCCCTTCATCTCCCCTTTCCCTCCCCGTCCCTTCCCGCTCCCCTCCTCTTCCCCTCCCCTTCCAATCCCCATCACCTCCCCATTCCCTGCCCATTCCCTGCCCATTCCCTGCCCATTCCCTGCCCATTCCCTGCCCATTCTCTTCCCATTCTCTTCCCATTCTCTTCCCATTCCCTTCCCATCCCTTCCCATTCCCTGCCCATTCCCTGCCCATTCCCTGCCCATTCCCTGCCCATTCCCTGCCCTTCCCCCCCCCCATCCCTCTCATCAAATTCACCTGAATCAGCTCCTAACAGTCCAAGATGGAGAGGCGAGGCGAGGCAAGGTGAGAAGAGAAGCGGCAAGGGACGCCAAGGTCCCACATCCCCATGAATGGTGAACAAGGTGGCTGGATGGCTGGATGGCTGCCTGCTATGTGCGCATGGCCATGGTGAACGGGGTGGGTGGGTGGATGGGTGGGAACGATGCATGCATGTGCATATAGTGTGCATGCATGGTGTGGTGTGTGCATGGTGTGTGATTCGTGTGAATGGTTTGCACTGCAAGGTCTTACATGGCGATTGTGGTGGGCATAAGGCACCACTGCGTGGCTGACTGAAAGGTTCCTTCCTTTCATTTTATAATCCAGCCAATAACCCCGTTCTCCTCGTTCCCCTGACCCGTTCCCTCCCCTTCCCCTCTCCTTTCCATCTACTTCCTGTCTGTCGCTTTGGCCTCCCCTTCACCTCCCCTTCCTCTCCCCTTACCCTCCCATTTCTCTGTCTGTTACTCCCCATTTCCCCTCCCCTTTCCCTCCCCTTCTCCTCCCTCTCTCCTCCCATTTCTCTCCGCTTCCCCTCCTCTTCGGTTCTCCTTGCTTCCCCTTCTCCCCCATTTTCCATCCCCTTCCCCTCCCTTTCCCCTCCCGATCCCCTTCCCATACCTTCCCGTTTCCCTCCTATTCCCATCCCCGTACCCTCCCCCTCCCCTCCTCGTTCCCTCCCCTTTCCCTCCCCATCCTCTCTCATCACATGCACCTGTATTTTCTCAGAACAGTCCAAGATCGACAGCCAGCGCCCTTCTGCCCTGCCACGCGCATCAAGGACGTTTGGCTCTGCTCTCTCTCTCAAGCGGTCCATGTATTACCAACCAGAAACGTACAGACATGCACAGGAGGATAAGGCACCTGGAACATGCATCAAAGAAGGACCTTCGGGTGAATGTGCATGGGGGTTGATGGTGGGTGTCAAGGGGTGGTGTTCAGTGGCAATGGTGGTGAGTGAGCTGTGCTAACCTTCATGTGAATCGCTCCCGTCAAAGGCGTTCATGTGAGGGAGTGTTGAAGGGCAGAGTCGCCCTTCCTTACCAGCTGTCCTCCCGCCCCTTCTCACCATTATTTCTTTGTGTCTCAAGTTTTCAACTCCCCTCCCTTCCAGCCTAGCTAAACAAACAGTCACATCAACTCGCACATGCCAAGACTTATCTCCCTTGCGACCTTCAACACTCCTTATTTGCCTCCCACTCACTCGTTCTCACCTTTTTCCTCTCCCCCCCTGTTCCTTCTTTCCCCCCTCCTTCCCCCCCCTTATTCCTACCAACTGGGTCGCTGTATCACCTCGCACGTGCATCAATCCATTCAGGCCGAGCCATCCGGGGCTGCTGGGTTGCTGGGCTACTGGGATGCTGGGAGGCCAATTCAACTGGGATGCTTCGGCAAATTATTCCGACGTGCATCGTGTGTCCAACGTGATCGAGTTCACTCACACGGTGGTGACCCACCAGCTGCTGCACTGCACCCGGCATGTACTCCTCCTGCTCCTCCACTACTCCTCAATCCTCCAAACCGGCCCTCCAGCACGCCAGGGCTTTCAGGTGCGTCTCACCTGCGCTCTTCCCGAAGTTTCGGCCGGATGGGGAGAGGTGGGGGGAGAAATGGGTGTGGGTGGGGTAGGAGGTGGCGGAGAGGGGCGAGGTGGTGGTGGCATGGACTTGCAGGAAGCGAACCGGGCAGCTCTGTACCAGCCCTCTGTACCAGCCCTCTGTACCAGCCCTCTGTACCAGCCCTCTGTACCTGCCCTCTGTACCAGCCCTCTGTACCAGCCCTCTGTACCTGCCCTCTGTACCAGCCCTCTGTACCAGCCCTCTGTACCAGCCCTCTGTACCAACCCTCTGTACCAGCCCTCTGTACCAGCCCTCTGTACCAGCCCTCTGTACCAGCCCTCTGTACCAGCCCTCCGAAGCAGCCCTTGAGCACGCCATGGCTGTCAGGTGCGTTTTACATGCGCTCTTTCCCAAGCTTCAGCTGAACGGGGAGAGGTGTGGGGAGACGGGTGTGGGTAGGGCAGGAGGTGGGGGAGGGACGCGAGATGGTGGTGGCGTGGCTTGGGGTTTCAGCAAGCGAGGCGGGGAGCTATGCACGTGCACTGTGTGGGGTACATTTGATATGATACATGAACATGGGCCTGGTCGTGGGCTGGGCTGCGGCGAAATTGTATAACTGTCGGGCTGGCCCGGCTCAGCACTCCAGGCTGGACGTGGCCCGAGTTGCGGCCCGGGGTTTCTGGTGTCAGGCTGGGCCGGTCCGGGCCAGATTCCGGTCCGAATTGGGCAGGTCAGTGTGAGTGACTCAGTGATGCATGCGATGCGACCCAAGCTGCACACACTGCGTGTCACATTTTGTGGGCACAGCAAAAGGGGGAGTTGTGGACGCGAGCAGGGGGGTGTGTGGGTGGGTGGGTGCGAGCAAGGGGGGTGTAGATGCGAGCAAGGGGGGTGTGGGCCCGAGAAAGAGGGGTGGGTGTGTGGGCGTGGGAAGGGGAGGTTTGTGGGAGCGAGCAGGCTGGGTGTATGGACGCAAGCAAGGGGGTGTGGGCGCAAGCAGGAGGGTATGTGGGAGCGAGCAGGCGGGTGTGTGGGCACAAGCAGGGGGGGCGTGGGCGCAAGTAGGGGGGATGTGGGTGCAAGCAGGGGGGGTGAGGGCACGAGCAGGGGGGGTTTGGGCGCGAGCAGGGGGGGTGTGGGAGCGAGCAGATATGGCCCAGCCATGAGCACGGGCCGAGCCGTGGGCTCATGCCCAGCAAGCCGACCCAGGCCCGGCACGTGCTCATGCCTGTTGGGCACGTCTCGGGTGACCCCGCCTATGCCTGTGCCAAGCAGATATGCCATATTCCTTGAAAAGAGTACCAATATACTGTTGCGGCCTTGTGTTATCCCTTCCCCTTTTCCCGTCCTCTCTGTTCCCCCTTCTCACACTCAGCTTATGTGCGCTGGCAGTTTGTTTCTGGCCCGCCTGCCTCCATTGTTGTGCTTACTTCGTTACCTCTTCCCCTTCCCCTTCCCCCTTCTTCCCTCTCGTCCTTCTTTCCTATCAGGGTACAATCATGCAGATTTATCCGGTAATAACCTTAATCCCCTTTTACCCACCCCTTCCCCCCCCCGCTGTCACCCCCTTGGTGCGGTGCAGGCAGTGTGTTCATCTGCTCATGTCTGCGTCCCTGGCTGCCCTGCTTTCGTACGCACCCTCACCCCTTCTCTCTTCCTTCCCGCCCTCCCCCCTCTCTTATACAGCTAGTGTGTGTTGACTCTGACTGTGGGGCTGTGGGCACGTGGCATGGTACGGCATGGCCGAGCTGCCAAGACAGGAATGTCAGCTGAGGAGAAAACCAGCAGAGGCGCTAAGAAGCAGCGGAGCCCGAGCATCGTCTTGGCAAATACGAGCCACAAGATTCGCATGGTGAGGTGAGTGGTTGGGTGGGTGGGTGAGTGGTATGTGTGCATGTGCATGGTGTGTGCATGTGCATGGTGTGTGCATGTGTATGGTGTGTGCGTGGGTTCCAGTGCATGGTATGGTGTGTGCATGGCGTGTGTGGGCATATGGTACCAGTGCATGGTTGAGTGGGGGAGCATGCCATTCCTTTTGTACACCAGCCAACTACCCCTTCCCCTCATCTTTACCTCCCCTTTGCCCCCCTTTCTCTCTTCTTCCCCTCTGCTTCCTCTCCCTTTCCAAATACCATAGTTATGCGCTATCCCTTATGTAAAGCTCTTCTGTTATTTCCTAATTAGGTTAAGTTCCCCTTCTTGTCCGCTTCCCTTTTCCTTTCCCTTTGCCCCCGTCCCATCACCTCAACCTCGCCCTCTCCCCTACTCCCCGCCCCTAACCCTCTCCTCCCCCTCTCCCCCCCCCTCCCCCCCAACACTCCCCTTTCCCTCCCCTTCCCCTCTCCTCCTCCTCCGTTTTCCCTCCCCCCTCCCCGTTTCCCCTTGTCCTTCCCTTCCCCCCCCCTTTTCCGCGCATCACATGCACCTGAATCAGGACAGACCTTGCCATCATCGACAGCCAGTCGCTGCCTCTGGAGGGCGTGAATACTCTCTTCCCCCTTCCCTCTGGAGGGCGTGAATACTCTCTTCCCCCTTCCCTCTGGAGGGCGTGAATACTCTCTTCCCCCTTCTCTCTGGAGGGCGTGAATACTCTCTTCCCCCTTCCCTCTGGAGGGCGTGAATACTCTCTTCCCCCTTCCCTCAGGAGGGCGTGAATACTCTCTTCCCCCTTCCCTCTGGAGGGCGTGAATACTCTCTTCCCCCTTCCCTCTGGAGGGTGTGAATACTCTCTTCCCCCTCCCCTCTGGAGGGCGTGAATACTCTCTTCCCCCTTCCCTCTGGAGGGCGTGAATACTCTCTTCCCCCTTCCCTCCTGCACGAACCCCACCAGCAGCAGCAGCAGCAACAGCAGAGCCATCAACAGCGGCAACGGCGGCATCTCCCGCCTCATGCGCCTCCTTTACAAACCAAGACGCTTCCCCCTGTCTGCTGCCATCAGCCAATCGAACCCACAGCCGCCAGCACGAGCACCACCAGCAGCGGCATCAGCCGCAGTGCTGTCAGCAGCGGCAATGGCAGCATCAGTGGCGCATCTCCCACCTCCTGCTCCTCCTTTCTGGGCCCAAATGGCCTGGCGGGAATGGTGCTGCATGCGCCTGCAGAACCTGTTGCAGCAGGCAGTGCTGAGGGGCAGTGCAGGCAGATTGTGTCCAGGCTGATTGTGATCATGGGGCTTGGTGCAGAGCAGAAATTCCAGAAGAGTTCAGCCGTTCCAAAACATATGCATTGCATGTACCCTACTATACCGTACTACACCTGACACGTTTTAGGCATGACCCGGCCCAGTGATTATTCACTTGGATGCTTGTTGTTTCTAAGTGAGGAGGCCAATGATATGGGTAGTAGTACAAGATTGAGGCTGAGACGAGGATGTGATGACAGTTGTGATGAGAATTGTGGCAGTACGCGAAGGCAGTAATATAGATGGCAGTGGTGGTAAACGCCACCAGCGGCAGTCGGCCACTGAAGTAATCACCCTCAGCACCATTCCTCCAGGCGTTCAAAACTCTCCCTAACTCCTACGATTCTATTCATTCTCTGCCTTCTATGCGCACTGCCCACCTCAGAGTCATCTCATCACATCACAGCTAACGAAACAGCCTAACAAAGAGATGCTACATGCCATAGTACCTTAATGATGCTTACCTAAGTGGATATTTTCAGCCCATACACCTCATTGATGCTTCTGGGGAGCACAGACCCATCACTGTCCTTCACATGCCCGCACTCCTCCACATCCAACATCCGCAGTGCCTTCACCTCACACAAACCCCCCTGGCAATGCCTCCAGCTGCGCATAGCCTGAGAAACAGAGGGATCTGAGCCGCGTGAACTGGGAAAAGGTGGGACACAGGGAGCGGATGGGGCAGCTTGAGATTGACAGCTGGGTCAGGCGGGCAAGCTGGGTGAGAGAGGCAGGCAGATGCTCAAGCTGCTCACAGCGAATGAGGTGCAGCTCGCGCAACCGGGATAAGGCACCGATGTCATCCGGAAGAGAAGCCAGTTTGGCCGCAGCGTAAACCCCCAAGAATGTCAGGTTCTGCAGCACAGTCACACTCGCTGGCAACTCCCTCAACTCGCCCGCACTTATCAGGCTCAGCTTCCGCAGCTGCGGCACTGCTGACCCGATATCGGCCGGCAACCGGACAAGCCTTGCGCTCTCAACAATCAGGGTGCGCAGGCGGGAGAGAAACGTCAAGGCGAATGGAAGCTCCTCCGCATCGGCGGCCAAACTCAGGTGCAAATGCTCCAGGTGCGATAGGCTCCTGCTCACAGCGACCCCACATGCCACCGCAACAACGTCCAGGCGAAGCGATCGAAGCCCCGTCAGCGCGGACATGTCTGGCAGAGCCATGGCCTACCTGCGACCTCCCCAACTCAGCCATTCAATGGAAGGCGGCAAGACTAGAGGAGGCCTTGTGAGCTTGTCACATTGGGCCACCTCCAGCCACTTGAGCCGTGTCAAGCCGTCCAGCCTCGCGGGCGCCGAGGCCAGATTATGGCAGTAAGCGAGTGAGAGAGCTTCAAGGGCAGTCAGGCACGTCACAGATGCTGGAAGGGCCGTGAGCGGAGGGCAGTATGAGACGTGCAGCTGGCGCAGGTTGCAGAGCGCTCCCACCACGCCCTCTGGCAGCTCCTCCACGCCGCACTCGTCCAGCTCAAGCCTTGTTAGCGACGTGATCTCGGATAACGAGGGCGGCAGATGCCAATGCTCGAGGCTATCTCTCACAAGCAGGGTGTGAAGGTTACTCAGGCGGCCTATGTCCGCTGGAAGCGCCACTCGCCCGAGGCAGAGAGTCGTGAGAGCTGTGAGGCAGCAAAAACCTGCTGGCAGCTCGCGGATTGAGTCGCACGAGAGCAGGAAGAAGGTCTCCAGGGAGCTGAGCTGGCAAACGGAGGCAGGCAGGCTCGCCAGCGGCAGATGATCCAGAACCAAAGTTTTCAGGGCAGTCAATCTCCCGATGTTTTCAGGCAGGCTGCGAAATTCGAAGTCGCATTCGATGACTGACAAGGTCTCGAGGTGCTCCAGGGAACAGAAACCCTCGGGCAGCTCCTCAAAGGCCTCGCACCTGGAAACGGTCACCTCACGCAGACGCGGCAGCAACTCCGCAATGCTGTCCGGAAACCGCTTCAATTCGTCGCAATATGATATCTGCAGCCGTTCAAGACTTGTCACTGGCCAATCCGACAGCAACACGTGGCGAGTGTCCAGCGATTTGATCAGCGGCAGCTGTGCGATGGCTAAGGCAGCCGAGCCATGAGGAGAAAACGAGGTCCCGGCAGAGAGTGAAAGGCTGGTGATGTTGGGAAGACGACGCACGTTGGCCAGCTGCTCCTCGTTCAACTCCGGGGAGGCGATATGGAGAGTGGTGAGAGAAGCGAGGCTGTCCAGATCTGGAGCTTCTAAGGCGGAGGCGGCTGTTAAAGCCAGGGTGTGTAGACGCGTGAGGTGGAAGAAGGAAGCGGGTAGGTGGACGTCCCGATGGAGGCAGCGCAGTGAAAGCTGCTCCAGCTGAGTGCATCGCTGGAAGAAGCGATCCAGGCCAGCTTCGGTGATGGGGCGCTTATGCTTCGGTCCAACATAGTCCGGATGGTGAGCGATTTCGCGTCCCACGTGAAGAATCTTGAGCTTAGGACACGCTGATGCGAGGTAATTGAGGAAGGTGTCGTCTAGGGTTTCCACGCTGTAATCGCACAGATGGAGATGGTTGAGATTAGGGAAGCACGCGACGGCATCTGAGAGTTTTTGGAGGGCAATGGCATGCTTTCGTTCGACGAGCAGCGTGGAGACGTCACGGTGAGCTACATCGCGCCAGCGACGGCACACAGACGACACAAGGAAGATCTTGGCAGCGCTTGGACCGGCGGAGGGGGACGATACTGGATACGACTCTTCGTCGGGGCTGAAATCTTCATCTAAAACGACCGAGTGAAGGTACAATGGCTTCTCCGACAATGAATGCCGAGACCATAACGCGTCACTGTCGAATTTAGGAGGTGTTGACTCTTCACAATGCCATAGAATCCTAGCGAGGACGTCGTCGGGAAGGTCGTTAATATGTGTCGCTGTCTCCATAATTTCCCTAGCAGACGAGATTACTAAGGATCTATAGAAGGACGGAAAGCAGCGACCTTGAAGCCTAGACTGAGTTTGAACGAGGCCTGAAAAACTATTGTGACGTTAACGTTACTCGTGGCGTGAGAGGTCATGATCGCGCTGCCTTCCCTTGTACGCAACACAAGCAGCACCAAAATGGTTTTGCTGCGAGAGGGAGGCAGGGCGATCACGTAAGGGAGGATTCTCTGTCAGGTGTGGAGAGAGGGACCCGGTCTCGAACCTAAGTGTTTTTGCTGCGATGGGGTCTCTGTTTCTTGATTTCGCTGCCATTCGTTTTGCTTCAATTCATTGTGCTTCGAAACCTTGCGTGGTGCAAGGAAATATCGCATGGTTTCGTTCAACACCGAACCAAGTAACAATTAGGGCGGACCTAAAATGTCAAACGTGCTATACGCCCTAACAGCACCGATGAGTTCAGTGAGGGAGCTGACAGTTGAAGCAAGGTAGGGAGAAAAGAGTCGGTGAAGTGACGTGACGACGGGTTGCAGCAAGTTGAACTCATTATTGGCCACCCTAAGCAGCAGCTGTCATCAGCACGGTAAGCTTCCGCACGCAATATAGTACCGCGGCGATCTGTCTCTCCCGAGACCTGCCTCGCGCTCCTCCACTCATTCTCACTCACCACATTAACGCGACCCGGGTTCTCCATTTTCCTGGACTGCGAATTTCGTGTCGCATACGGGACTGCAGGCCCATATGCGTGCTCAATGCTAAAAGCTCAGTGCTTCGCACGCTCGATGCTCAAGCCTGTTCCTCGTGATGGTCGATGGTAGGAGTGCGGTAGCATGACCCACCTCTCCTTCCCAAGCCGCTTACTATGGCGAGCGGCGGCAAGCTGTCCACGTCAGACGCAGCGCACCAGCTGCTCCTGGAGAATGGAGTCAAGCCCGATGAGCGACGTCGGCGTTGACTCCCTTTTACTGCGAGCAAGCCGCGCTTATCTAGCAGTAGTGGCATTCCCTTTGATGTGCTCTTAACTGACGGCTCACATTCGAAACGGTGCAAGGCGTGTCCCGTGATTTCTGCTGTGCCGTTTGCGATCGCCTGCGACGTGACACTCTCTGCTGTCATGCGGCGCTTCGCATTTGCAAAAGCAGCTTACAATGTGTCATGCGATGCGAGTGTGGCACCTCCCCTGTCCGCATCAATGGGCAGCACGGCGCAGGGCCTAACTGGGACCGACATTCTACTACAACATAGCTACCTTCTCCCCCCGCTCCCCTTCCCATCACTCACCAACTCTCGCTTACCCGCCTCACTCGTATTCCCCACTGGTTCCTCTTGGGCTGTCCCACCTGCAACTCCCACTGGCAGCCATCCCCCAATCACTCACCGCCTTTCATTACAAAGTTGTCAATACATCGCCACGTGCCCCCCCCCCCCCCCCCCCCCCCCCCCTCTCTTCCCATCACTCCCACTTTTATCTCACCCACCTCACTGACATTCACCTCTAGACCCTGCTCTGCTGGGCTGTCGTACCGCTTTCTCCTGCTGCCCATCCAATAACCCTTTTATCTGCTTTCATTTCATTCCGTAGTATCCACCTCCTTTCCACATCTCTCCGATCCCTCTCTTGTGTTTCAGAACAATGGTGAAAGATGAGCAGTTGCAGAAGCACCAGCAGCAACAGCAAAAGCAGCACAAGTAGCAGCAGCAGCAGCAGCAGCAGCAGCACGGCGGGTGCCAGGGTGAGCACAAACACGCACCACCACACCAATGAACAGAGACAGCAGCAAGAGGGGTCCGACATCTGCTCGTCCTTGCCTGCTCAAAGCTTCAACCTCTCCTTTTCATAACAAGCCTCAGGCTCATCGAATCGAAACCAGCCGGTGAGCCACATTGCATTGACCAGTGGCTATGCACTCTCACTCTGCTGCTGGCTGCGGTGCCACTGCTGCCTCCTTATTCTACTCTCCCTCCTCCCCTCCTTCTCCCCCCTCTTACTCTCCCACCCTCTCCTATCCTACCTTCATCCCCTCCTACTCTCTCCAGCAATTCCAGGCTTTGTTGACGGGCTCTAGATTATCTTGCCCGTGGATGTAGCTCAGATGGTATGCGGGGATAGCTCAGTTGGGAGAGCGTCAGACTGAAGATCTGAAGGTCGCGTGTTCGATCCACGCTCACCGCATTTGTTGGTCTTGGTCCACAGCCCATTGTGGCCCGTTGTGCTTGCTTCATGCACATACTTTTGAGCCTGAATTTGGCTTCACTCACACACCACTGTGCCTCTTTTGCTCGCTTCACTGCCTCGTTTCACTCGCTTCACTCACAGACCCTTTCTGCCTTTTCTTGCTTGCTTGACCCATGCTGTCCAACAGGTGTGCCTGCCTGCATGTGAGCAGCTCACAGCAGTGGAGGTTGCTGCTGCTTGAGCTGCCATGGCACGGTGCTGCTATGGCTGGCATGGCTACTAGACTAAAATGGATAGACCGGGGTAAACCAGCAAGGTTGAACAATAGGCGTTAGACAGGCAGGGGTAGAAAATGAGGTCTATAGGTGCAGGCTAGGCACTGAAGTGAAAGCAGCAGGCCTGAAGCAGCTGTGCTATGGGCGAGGCACGGGCTGAACGGGTGGGATGATGCGCCGTCTCATTGGGCAGACGATGGTGCCAACGTGGAGGTGAGCCATGAGTGACGTGCCCAGCTTATCGCTGCGACTCACGGCCTGGCAGCATGGCAGAGCCACGAGAGTAACTGTGCGAGAAGTGGTGCACGCAGGCATGGGGGAGAAGAGCGAGGTGGGCGTGTAAGTGGGCGTGTAAGTGGGCGTTAGCTGCACACTGCTCATTGCATGTTGGTCATGCAGGAATCTATGCTTTACGAGATGCAAGCAAGCACATGCTGACGGGTAGGGCGACGTGCCAACATAGAGGTGAGTGACGTTGTAAATAACTTTCTTCTCGTTCCGTCCATTGTTGTCTTACTCCTTTAGCATTAGCACCTTCGCCCATCTGCTCCCAGCATGGTGCTTCTGGGCCGGTTTACTGATGGGAGGATGAATGAGAGCACTGTTTTCCTGTGTGCGTGCCATCAGCAGCTATCTTCCACTTCCTTCTCCTCGCTCAGCAGTACGTTCCTTCATCCTTTGCCTTCTTCCCCACTCGCCAGCACTCCCTTCCCCTTCCCACACCAACAGCACCTTCCCTGAACTACTCTTAAGGAGCCAACTCCTTTCTGTGGCACACAGCCGGGCAGCATGGCAGAGCCACGGACAGCAGCAGCAGCGGCACTAGTAGCGGTGAAGCCAGTCAGTGGTGTGTGGGGTCAGGGGGACGGGAGGGAGGCAAGGGCGAGAGGTGTGAGGCAGCAGCCACAGTGTGACTCTGACAGCCCGCTGATCATGCCGGGCTTTAGGCGTGTGAAGAATGAAGAGGTCCTGCAGGCACATACTGGCGGCCATCAATGAGCACGACATCCACCACAGTCTTGCCTGCGCGGGCCTGGGGCGTGTTCTTGACATAGGGTGTGTTCCTGACTTAGGGTGTATTCCTGGCCTGGTTCCAGGCAGGCAGGAAGCTGATTGCTACCGGGCTGGACCAAGGTATATTAGCTGCATGATCACCATGCCATTCCTCAGGCTTCCCAGCTGGGACTACACCAATCTCCCGTCCATCCCTCAGCTTCCTTCGAAGCATCATCAATGAAAGCATTCGCGGTTGTGAGCCAGGGCAAAGGACGTTATTACTAGGGTTCGAAAGGCCCTCGTTCTGTGATGTACAGACACACACACGTTTGGATTTGGGGAGGAGAGGGATGGCGAAACACAACCAATTCTTCTGCGTGCTGCTCGTGTGTCACCGCGAGTCCCTCTCATCACTCTCATCGTCATGGTGGGTGAATGTGAATGCACCTCTGCATCATGGCAGGCCGCAGCTGGAATAAATGCGATGGACCTCTCAGCTGAGTGCGGGGGGCGAATGGTGGTGCCCAACACGAAGGTGAGAGGAGCTGCATAGGATGTGAGTGATTGACGGCACTGTGCCCCTGCCACACCCTGCCACACCCTGCCACACCCTGCCACACCCTGCCCCACCAGAATGATGGACGAGATAGAATCGTCCTCTTGAGATCTCATCCGTAAACCGTTGAAGCTGCTACATCTTCCCCCCTTACTTGAGTCATGGATGTGAGACTGTGTCAGTATGTGCTTAACTGTACAATTCTCAATGTTGTGTTGAGGTGCTTTTCCAACATTCACCTTGAGTTTGCTTAATCGATTTCGTTGTCCCCCCTCCTCCCACTGTAACAAGCACTTCACATTATCATTTTGCATGCACACCTTTATGTAGCAATCGCTTCGTAACACACATTCCCTCACTGCAGTGGCATGTGTCTCCACCACCACCATCACACCCACTGGATTGCTTCACTTCAGAATCTCCACAACAATCCAACCCACTGCCTCCCCCCTCCCCCTGCTAGACACGGGTTTTTCTCACATGCAAACGTTATTTCAACTCGCTTTATCGGCAATAATCCCCTCCCATCCGCTTGCAGTACCCGTCTCTTCCTTCCAAGCCACCTTCACATTTCTTCCTTCCAAGCCACCTTCACAATTCTTCCTTCCAAGCCACCTTCACATTTCTTCCTTCCAAGCCACCTTCACATTTCTCCCTTTCCCCCACCTCCCAAGGACGCGTCCCCTCCCTCGATCGATCCTGCGCTGGATCGATATTTGGCGGGGTTCGAGAAGGTTCTGCTAGTTGTAAAATTTATCAAGCAGGAGTTCAGTGTGGTGGAGGATCAATATTGCACGATTGGTCGAGGGAAGGTACGCGTCCTAATCCCCTCCTCCGCACCCCCCGCACCCCTTCCCATAGCCCTCCAACCTCCCTCTGTTGTTCTGACCCCCTCTCGTTCCATCCCGATCGTTTGTACAACTCCCTCGCTGCCATATACCCTTTGTACTACCTCCCACTTCCCAGTTTCTTGAGTTCTCCACTCACCCCGTTTCAATCA